TACTGTTTGTTATAAGAAATGCTAATTGCACCAGAGGTCCAGTGGAGAACAATATAATCTTGTGATTGTGAGGATTTGGTTAGTCATGCTTTAACATTTAATACATTCAATCTGTATTGTGTTGGGATCAGTTTGGGTTGAAATTTGTTTTCTTCTAATTATTTAATTCAAGTGATCATTTTCTCTGGAAATACAAAGTACTCTGATAAAATTCTTGGATAAAGACATTCACTGGAATTTATAATGTATTCGAACCTGGATTTATATTACTGTTATTCAACAAAAGACTTGACACAACAACACTCCATAAGCTATAACTGGCACGTCATCGCCTTCAGTTTTGTATCTCTTCCGAATTGAGCTGAGTTTTATTCATGACTTTTTATTATTAGGACTTGTGTCTGTAATTCTTTGACTATTCTGGGATTTAATTCGCATACCGTAAGTTCTTTGTTTCTTATTTTCATTTCGTATTCTGGGGGAAATATTTTTTTTTGTTAAATTTTACAAAGCTTGTTGTATTTCAATCTTTTCTGTTACTTATTTTAAGAGCATAGGCTCATAACAATATACACAGTTGTCGCAGTGTTTAATTTGAGTATGATTACTTATGGCAACCAATGCTTTTCCAGAAAATATTTGTCAACACTATGCAAATTCGAGAAACACTACGCCTTCTAACTTCTTCGTATACTTCTTTACTACGAAGTTCTGATATCCAATATATTTACAAGTTTGGTTATTCTGTTTAGAAATATTTATGTGACATTTTCTTTTGAGCCGATTATGGCTTTTGCCACATTAAAACTCGCCAAAAGTCGTCAGATATTAATATGTAAGTTTAACCTCGTTTTTGTCGTTTATATCGTCAGATTATGCTTAAACTTGGTACGTAAGAATAGATTGTCAAACCTTGGATGACTTGGGTTGTGAGCAACGAATGTGCAAATTAATGAATCAACTAGCATCTGATTGGTTCAAGGTTGTTACCATTCTGGAGACTGCATTATATTTTAATCTAACAGTACATTATTTGTTATATATTAGCAGGGTTTACAGAATGGTCAAGTCTATTATTACCTAATTTATGAGTCATACAATTTTGTATTTACCGGAAAATAAACGCGTAAGGAATTTACGAATTTAATGGTAGCACCACTATTAAATGCTGCAATGTTTTGACAGCTTTGGTATGAGACGTACATTTCTGATTTCTTTCTTTTTCCAAGTCGAGAGTTATTACCAGTGGTAAGTACTTGCTAATAACATTGTTATGCTTTTTATCGTCCTTCCATCAAAAAATTAATAGGTCTTTAAAATTATTTCCTAATGCATCTATATATTACATATTTACTAAGGTACGCAAGTATAATGAGGTTTCGTTTTAGGCAAAACGGGACATGCAATTATATCACTTTGGCCTGGATCTAATTGACTATCAGGACCTCTTCGCATATTAAGGAGTAATGTGGTCTCTTGACTAGTTGAGATCGTTACCACCCTAAATACTTCACGTTGAATCTGATTTGTACCAAACTTGGTTTGTAAATTCAGTTCACAAAGATCTCTGATAAATTAAATATTGGGTGACATCTGTGGACAAAAATGAATGACCCGATTCTGATATATTATGAGCCACCAATGTTACCACCTTGTGCAGATTGTATCGCTTCAATTGTTTTAAAAATTTAAATTGATTCTGCATGACGCATGCATACAATTATATGGTTGAAAAGATTGCTCAATTAGATTAAATAGAACACTGATACATAAAGTGTAAATACCTCTCAATGAGATAACTGCTGTAAAAACTATATAAGAATGACCGAATTCCGTGCTAAGCAAGAGGCGGTCTTAGGTCTCTTGCTCGTACTGATAGCTTTTCTTTCTTTTCTGTGAATATTAAGTTGACATTTATTAATATAAAAAAAAATATTTTCTTGTGTTGTTTTTTTTTACATAAAAGAACCATTGATGCAGAAAATTGGAGCGTACGGAAATCTACCTTCATTCGAATGATAAGTATAATGATTTTGACTTTTGTTCACATAGCCCATAATCTGAAATGATGCAGAGGCAGCTTAGTGGTTAGCGTGCGGGACTCGCGACCGAAAGGGCGCGGTTTGAAACCACCATCGGACCAGCCAAGATTTCCTACTTATGTATCATTGGCAAAGGCACTTTAATCTAATTATCCGGTACTAAATAACCTAACTATGTTGATGTACCATCAAATGCCAAACCAAATGGAAATGACGAGTTTAACGTGGTAAAAGCAGAAATGATCTATTGACCTTTTAAAATATGTACCTGTTTCAGACTGGCGTTTTTTTTTTTTTTCCTCTTTCATAATTTTTTTTGTTAAGGATGGGGTGAAATTTAATAAACATTGAACGAGAGATACTGAAGTTAAAGCGATGTTACTTGTTGGTTGTATGTAGTGCAGATCGCATAGGAGATCAATTGGGATCCGAACCAACCATTTTATTGACAAAGCACGTTAAGAAGAAAAAAAAGGTTATTAGGTAAATATTCAGAACTAGATAAATAACTGGATTTCTTCCATCATCAGATAGTTGAATGACCGTCAGCTCACCAAGAAATAAAGTTCAGAGAACTTATAATGGCTATTGAAGGGAGATAACTTTTACGGCTATATCAAGTCATCATCCGTCAAATAACATTAGATAAGGGAACCACTCAAAACGAGCTGAATTGCTGTGCCATTGGTAAATTGTTGCCAACCATTTAAAGAGTTGCTATACCGCCGTTAAATTGCCGTCAACAGTCTGTAATGTTATTATACCGCCGTCAACCGTCTAAAGAGTTGTTTATTCTACCGTCGAAAGTGCTGTCAGCCCGCTCAAATTAGTTTATACCTCCATTAAATTGATGTCAACTGCCTCAAAAGCTGTTTACACTGCCGTTAAATTTTAAGTCATCCCTCCCAAGAGTTGTTTATACCAGTTAAATTGGTGTCAACCGCCTACTTATTGGAACGATCGGAAAAAAAATACATTTATAACAACAAAGGTAATGCGGTACGAAAGATTTACTCCTAAATATCAGTTTACAATATTATCAGGTTAGCAAGCATTATGTAATAACTTGGAATGGGAAAACTACTGGTATTATATTTGCATATTTGAATAATATTGTTTTTAAAGAGGGTAAAAGCTCAAAATCAAGCCTTGAATTGTCATCGATTCTAGACGGAATTTATTCATTGAATGTACAAACACATCTTCATTCTCCTCCACCTTCATCTCTTTCTGGCAAATAATTGTGGTCTGCATGAGAAAACACCGTCTATACTGCGATGTTTCTTTTGGACGTGATATTGACCAAGTTAATATTATGCAATTTGATCAAACTGGTGTTATGTATCGGCTCGTTTAAAGTAACACAAAGAAAGAGCGACTACAACAAGATTTGTAAATTTTAACAATACTAATTTATTTCCCTAGAAAACACGGAGAAAAGGTAAACATATGAAAAAAGACTTACGATTTACGAAAAAAATCAAAAAATTTGTTCTGAAGTTGTGAAAGCACATAAGTCCTGTGAATAAACAGTTCTAAATTGATACAGTCTGAATTTCAGTTCCGTTCCAAGATGGCAGATGAAGGTTAACACAAAAATGTCCAGAATTTTCACTGTGAGTCACAATTTGTATTTTTCTGTTCCAAGTTAAACATAATTTCAGCAAATGTCTTTGTCCAAAGCCAGTAGTGCTGTTCTCAAGGGAAAATAAATATTTAGAAAGTAGATGAAGTACAGCTACCACCACTAACAATACACAAGTTGTTCCTCATACGTTTAAACGAACAACTCTTTCCAGCACAGATCTACCTTTTAAAGTATTGGAAACTCTATAAGGTGCTATGATGTGACTCTCAACTTATGACTGACTACGAGTGAATATTTATTACAGGCAACTGAGCATTTAAAGCAAATTAATATGTCACAATATGTACAAGTACGAGGAAATCATTAATATTTCAAAATATAGTCACATGCAGTATAGTATGTCAACAAGTATTATTAGTAGTGACGTCATAACAGCCAATTATTTGCATAGCTTTTCCTGACTGTTTTACTTGCAACGACAAAACGTACATGTGAAAATCGTACTTACGCGAGTCACATTTACGTTGTAAGTAAACACGATGTTTCTAACAAAAAATCAGATCCATACAAACATAAACATCATCATAATAATAATTATATTTAATGATATAAAAATGAACTAAAATTAAAATAGAAATAAAATATAAAAATTAAAATCTGAACACACGTGTAATTTAACTACAGGATCGTAACACTGGTTTATTATGTTATTTTACATTCTAACTTCTGGGAGAAAAAGAGGAGGATGAGAATGTCATGAAACTTTAGAGACACTTTCTTTCCAATGTCTAGTTTGTCCTAAATAAAACTGGTATTCCTTGTACATTCAATATAGCCGCCGTTGACTTCTTATAATATTTAGTTTCTCACATGAAAATGGTGCCGTCGTACGTCCAAAAATCAGATCCATACAAACATAAACATCATCATAATAATAATTATATTTAATGATATAAAAATGAACTAAAATTAAAATAGAAATAAAATATAAAAATTAAAATCTGAACACACGTGTAATTTAACTACAGGATCGTAACACTGGTTTATTATGTTATTTTATATTCTAACTTCTGGGAGAAAAAGAGGAGGATGAGAATGTCATGAAACTTTAGAGACACTTTCTTTCCAATGTCGAGTTTGTCCTAAATAAAACTGGTATTCCTTGTACATTCAATATAGCCGCCGTTGACTTCTTATAATATTTAGTTTCTCACATGAAAATGGTGCCGTCGTACGTCCAATATTTCTATCAGTGAGGCAACGTTTCATTTTTTTGTAATCGCTACATCTTCTGAGCTAATGGTTATATCAGCCTGGAGTTTTCTACTGAAGACTCTTATTGTATCTAGTTGGCCCAACATGAACGGACAGACGCAGTAGCTCAGTTGGAGGAGCGTCTGACTTGTAATCCAAGGGTGGCGGGTTTGATACTCGCCCTCACCTGTTTGTGTCGACTGCTTTGATGTATTCTTGATAAAAAGCACTTAGCTCCAATTTCATCTGCTTGATATAACCAATCATTGTTTTAATGCGCCGTTAAAAGTATCAAAACCAGATCATATATGAAAATGGAGCTGAGCTGACGCTAAACATTACATGTCATAGAACTACTGTTATTGCTATCCTCCTAAACCACTGGTCATATTGTGAAGGGGTTGCACTGAAAGACATCGTATTAGGTCTAGTTGGTACTGGATGAAAATAACTTTCCTCTGACATCCAATATGGAAGCAACAGCTGTCATTTTGAATTGCTATCGCTATATCCTGAATGGACGGTCTTAATGACATCGTGTTCTCACTAAATTCTTCTCATTTTTTGCTGGTCACAATAAAAAAAATACTGTTGATCAAGGGCGACTATCCTGAAATTCTCGCCATCACTGCTGTTCGTGAAGGGATGACCATCTCGACATGGTGCTGTCACTACAGCACTTCATGCTATTTTAAATTAGAAATAAATCAAAAGTGTGAGCTCGCAAAATTTGGAGAGAAAAAAAAACTCACATAGCATTGTATTTATCGTAAATAAATGGCGATACCGACATTGGAAAAAGTTCTTTATTCCAATTTATAGTTGTTCATGTAGTCGGCATGGGATTCTCACTTAAACATTATTATGACGCATGTTCCTGGTTTAGAATGAAAATAATGTTCAAATGACTTCTACCATGGCAACATAATTGATCTTGAACGTCTGGTTATAACTACCACTCTTGCACACATGGTGGGACCAACATGTGATTTTCAGTAACACTTTCAATATTTTATCAATTCTCGGTGAAACAGTTGAAGAAAAATTTACCAGAACAATTATGAAGGCGTTTTAAACAAGTCATAATTGAGTTTTGGATCAAGAAAAGGTCATTACTTGCATTTTTGTACATCACTAAAGTTACACATTTTAACTACACTAGAACATAATTTGCTTCTTGTCAATGAAAAGGATGATAAGTCAACATATTGAAATTGATATAACGGTCAAAGGTCTTGAATAATACTTTTCGCTAGACTGTCCAGTGAGCATGATAACACAAACAAGTACAAATGGGTTTTTTATCAACCCATTTCGGAAATATATTTGATGCAGTGGCGTCACTAGGGTTGGTTTTACCCAGTGCGGTAACTCATGGTGTCAACCCCCATGGACCTCCTTCCTGCACAAAAATTCAAAACTTTTATAGATGGTCATTTTGGTGTCACCTCCTCTGATGGTGTCACCCAGTGCGGTCCGCAACCCCACCCCCGAACCGCCCTAGTGACACTACTAATTAGATGGATATCTTCCCTGATGGCACTTAAATTGTTTCTTTTTTCCCACAAAAATATTAATCATAGATTTAACTAAAATAAAAACACGTGGATATATGTCTAAACTGTCTGAGACAGCATAACTGATTTTTCTTAATGATATCAGGTTCAGTATCAAAGGAGATAACTTCATTTTTTGCGCTTATATGTGTCTTCTGAGTCTTTTCAATTCATACCTGTAAGACAATATTTTCCCGATCAAATTTGGTATGCTGTGGCTTCTCAAGAATATCAGAGATGGTTTCAATACTCATCAGTTACAAAGAATGAAAGGAAAGAATAAACGGACTTGTATTGGTTAGATCCTTGGAAATTCTGTTCATCCAGTAGAACAACAGTCCCTCTAAGTGATTCTTGTTTATCTTTACATTCATGGAGTCACGATTGTGATGACTTGCCGTTAAACCCCATGCCTACATACGATGCCTACTTGCTGGTTGAAAGATAGAAAGATCTATAAGACTTTTAGAAATCGAGTTAATTGCTAACAAGATTTAAAAAATACCGTATGTACTGGCTTATAAGACGAGTCCAACAGCAAACTGCACAGACCCACATTTGCTGTTGCATAGTGCGCTGGTAGATCAAGGTCTCTGTAGATTGTTAGGAGTAATCAGTAGAACAAATAGTATAGACTATGATCTACTACATTCATTCAAATCAGGTTTGTTGTTTGCAGTTTGACTAACTTATAAGCTGATAGAGACGGTATATTATGTTCCTGTAACGATCGCAACAATATCTATCTATCTATCTATCTATCTATCTATCTATCTATCTATCTATCTATCTATCTATCTATCTATCTATCTATCTATCTATCTATCTATCTATCTATCTATCTATCTATCTATCTATCTATCTATCTATCTATCTATCTATCTATCTATCTATCTATCTATCTATCTATCTATCTATCTATCTATCTATCTATCTATCTATCTATCTATCTATCTATCTATCTATCTATCTATCTATCTATCTATCTATCTATCTATCTATCTATCTATCTATCTATCTATCTATCTATCTATCTATCTATCTATCTATCTATCTATCTATCTATCTATCTATCTATCTATCTATCTATCTATCTATCTATCTATCTATCTATCTATCTATCTATCTATCTATCTATCTATCTATCTGCCATCGGGATGAGTTGAAATACCAGTACAAAATTTCAAATTAAATAAAACAATTCGCCAAAGTAAAAGTTAATTCCAATTTGCTTATTACAGCACTGTACTGTTTAAAAATCTTCTTGCAAACATAATATATTTATCTGTGTTTACGTTTGAAAATTATTTGTGGAGGTACCAAAGGAAGGATCCGCCCTGGATGACAAATACACTAGGTACGCATATATATATATATATATATATATATATATATATATATATATATATATATATATATATATATATATATATATATATATATATATATATATATATATATATATATATATATATATCGTGGGAAACTGTCCTTTCATTGTTATACTGTGCTTTAAACGAACATGCATTGTCAACCTTTAAGTGTTCCCCGGCTAGGGAGGAAACTTGTCAATGTATATGTAAATTGATTGTCGAGATGTTTGAACGAAAACCACTCGAAACAAAATATACAACAACATAAAACGTGGCTCAAAGTCAACATAAGGTAACATCTATTATTGCGCTCAACGTGATGTGCAACGTCCGGTGGTGAGCAATAACAGAAAATTATTTCGATGCAACATAGAGTTTACCGCAAGGTAGGCGCCAGTTTCGACTTCTTTAAATGAGAATTAAATATTTATGAACAATTTATTTTATGTCATAACAGATTCCTTACAATCGCTTTTAATCAAGTGGTCATTAAACAATTTAGATTAGAATGCATACATACATACATACATACATACATACATACATACATACATACATACATACATACATACATACATACGTGACCTTGTAGTATTTGTCGTCTACCTTTATGCAAGAAATGTAGCTTAGGAAATGCTTATTTGAATTCGAGGTTTATTCAGATCTACAGTAGTGATTTAACCCATATTATAAATTATCACCAAAAAAAGACAGTACACATTATTATTGCCAAAACCTAATAATAAAATGTCCAGTCTTTTGAAGCAGGGAGGCTTACTTTCACATGGAATGCGCTTTTAGCAGCAACTAAGTATCTATGTGGCACGATATTGTTGGTTGATTTTTTTTTCTTTCCACGGGATACATAATATATGTTATGTTTCATCTTCAAACTTATTTTGAGGAAATAATTAATCAGCTTTTTGAAAAGGTCTTATTACCAAACACCAGGATATGCAGAAAGGTCAAATCAGCGATCATCTTTAAAATGATGGACATACCTAAAATTTGTACGAGATGAGAGAGAAATGCATCGGCAAACTTATCCAAGTCGGGCATGATATTATCTGGAGAGTATCACAAAAATGCCGCGAAGTTTACAGCATGCTCATTGCACATTAGCAGTGTTCTTCTCCGACATGTGCACGTCACTGCTATTTACCTATATTACGTCCCATGGATATATCTCCGTATATGTCCGGAGTAATGCACCTGCAGCTGCAGATGACATACCATAATTTTCTTTCTTTCCCTTCCGTCTATCGATCGGTATTAAAGGTTGCGACAAGTTCAAAGAAACAAACAAGTTTTAAAAAATAATAATTAGAACTGTCCAAATACTCTTCGTATTCCGCGAGTAATTTTAGAGTATTTATTCCTCGTTTGTATTTGCATCATCGATGGTCAATCCTGGTGCAACAGATTTACTTGATTCTAGAGCTGGTTGAGATTTATGGAAGATGGCCGCGTTCACAAAAACCGTTGTATGTGATTGGCGAGCGAGAAGCGTCTGCTATGAATGACGATGCACAATGTGGCAAGATGTGTCCCGAATTTGGCGACCGCTTGTCAAAAACAGACATGTTTTGAAACAGCTACTCGCCACGTATGAAAGAGTAGTTTACGTGTTTAAATGATATTGTTACAAAAGAGACCTGTTACAAATCTAGGCTGGTTCAAAATAACAAAGAAAAGAGTGAAGTGAACATGCTTTGTAAATTTTAACAAAAATAATTTATTTTCCTCGAAACCACAGTAAAAATATGGAAAGGGACTAAGTTTGCGAGCATAATCCAAAAATTGATCCCAGAATTGAAAAATACAAGTCCTATCACTAAAATGTTTTAAATGAATCCAAGTGAGAATCCCGTCGAAGTTCAAAGTTGGCGGACGATGACGTAAGATGAATGAATTATTGATGTGTCAAAAGTTCCACGTATAATTTTATGTATCACGAAAGAATTGTCAAAAGTTCCAAGTTGAATTTTATGAAACACGAAAGAATATCTCTGCTTTAGAACTGTGAATAATTTCCATTAAATGTCTTTGTCCAAGAATTTGATGAAGAGCTGCACTTGCAAACATTTTCCAGAGAATTAATTATTAATTCCAAAGAATAGAAAAAACTCAAAATCAAACACAACAAAAATGCCTCTGAACTGTCAATGTATTGTTTTGCGACTGAACTAAAAAAAATCCCAGTGATATTCAGTATTAAACCTCACTAAAACGTCATTTCGACACTTGTGATGGGTCGCATGATCACTTAC